CCCCGGGCCCCGCCCCCGCCGCTGCCCTTCCCGGGACGGGACCCCCTCCTCGTCCGCTTGCCCCCTGCACCCCAGCGGCCCCACTCCTTCCTCCCTGGTGCGAGTGCGCCCGAGCGTTGACTTTTCGGTGACTCCCTTTCCCCCGCCTCGCAGAGACCTTCTGTGGCTCCCCGCCCCCCCATCCGGCCTCTCAGACGTGGCTCTTGGAGGCAGGGGGTGGGGTGGGGGGGGAGGAGGTATAAAGGGCGGGAGACCTCGCGAGCCGAGACCCGAGACGTGGCGCGCCCACCCTGCCGGCCTCATCTCCAGGTACGTGCACGTCCCCCGGCCGAATCTGGCCATGTGGGGGGGTTGGGCAGGGGCGGCCTGGGCCTCCGGGACTCCGAGTTTGTGATTTTGCTCGTTTTGTGTGACATCCACATGTGTGCTCTGAGCTGGAAACTCCTAAAAGACCGAGGGTTGCTTCGGGTTCTTGGAGGAGCTATTTTAGGGTGCACCTCCCGGCTAGTTCGGCTGAACTTCAGTGGAATGAAGTTAGAGAAATGAACAAATCCGACCAACCAAGGGAGGCAAGTCAGGGGGGTCCCCAGGGAGCCACGCGGAAAAGAAAGCCTCGGATGGATAAAGTCAACTTGTCCAATTCTGGACCAAATGTTACTTGTTGCACTTTTGTCGGATCTTCGGCCTGTGGGGCAAGTGTAAAAGTGAAAAGATTCATGACTGGAAAGCATAGTACTTTCCAAAACGCCTAGAATTTGATACTTTGTTGCAAAACTTCCGTTTGGAACCCAGAGGGGTCGGGGGTCACTCTTCCCTCTGGATGGGGGTGGGGAACGGTATCTCTGGGCCCTGTTTATCCAGATCTCGGCCTCAGATGCCTCAGAAGGTGGCTTGGAAGTTTCCCTTGCATAAGGAAGTGCATGAATGCTCCCACCGCTGTCCCCTCTGCAGTGACATAGGATGCCCCTATGGCCCACATTCACACAACCGCTACAGGGTCTGGTTCTTGGGATTTGTCTGACGCGGAAGGACCCGGTGTGCCCTAACTGTGCCAGTGAGCTCATCTCTAAAACAAAGAACACATCCCTGGCTGTGAGGTGTCGTGGCTCACGCAGTAGCCACGCAGATCCAAGAGGAGGACAATAGAAATAAATACAAAGTGACATTGATTTGTCTTTATCGTCTGGAAATATTTTTTATATAAAAGATAATTCTGAATTGCTTTTCATAAAAGCAGTTCTGAAGGTTTCCGTGGAAGCTCAACCCAGCCCCAAATCTCCAGTTTCTCTCTCTCACTGTGGGTACTCAAGGGCTCACTCGGATTTCCTGTAAGACATCCAGAGGAAATGTCAGTGTTGGAGGGCCTCTTTGAAGAAGGATTGTTTCCGGAGTTGTGCTGGGGGCACTCCGCCTGGTGCAGGGCAGCTGCCTGGCTCCTGGAGACTTAATGGAAAGCTTAACACTTCCTTCTGGGCTTGGCACGAAGGACACTTGCTCCTTCCTAACATTCCCATTGATTCTTCTGCCTACGTGGCACAAGGGCCTTGAAGCCCTCCCTGGGAGGAGGCTGGGCAAGGTCTAGCCTGGCTGTTCTGCTCCTGGGGAGTTGGTGGAAGCGGAGGGAGGACACTACCTTACGCCTGACCTTGCAGCCTTTGAGTGAGTGAGGGGACCTGTAGAGCCCCAGCCATCAGGAAAAAGGGAGGCAGAAATGAGGACCCATGTGTTTAGCTAATCCTTGTCAGTGCACCTCAACATCATTACAGTTAAAGGCCTGCACACTTTAAAAAAAAATGCTTGGCATATAGAGAGTTAAGCACTGGGAAGAAAATACCTTTCTACACCATACCCCAGGAGGGATCATAGCATCATGTTTAATATGTAACTTTATGTGTATGTGGGGCGGGAGTCGATTTTATATGCAATGTACGGGCTATAAGGAAGCAGTTAGAATATGTACATTTCATGATAACGAATTGCAAGCAAATTAATAATAAGAATGAGATAGTGCATCCTTAGTTTAAAGTGAAATGGACCCACACTGCTGGTGATTTCACCTTGTTACCTGGGGAAAGCTCCTTTACTTCTCTGAGCTAGTCTTTTCATCTGGAGCTTAAACCAACCTGCTGGTAAGTGTGTCCTCTGTTGGCATGAAGGAGATAGGAGACAATGAAAGTGAGACCCTCGCCGGGGGCCCAGCACAGAGGTAGGCTCTTTTTTTTTTTTTTAAGTTTATTTTGAGACAGAGCAGAGGAGGGGAAGAGAGAGAGGGAGAGAGGAAGAATTCCAAGCAGGCTCCACACTCATGAACTCATGAACTCCAAACTCATGAACTCCAAACTCATGAACGGTGAGATCATGACCAGGGCAGAAACCAAGAGCCGGATGCTCAACCGACTGAGCCACCCAGGCGCTCCAGAAGTAGGCTCTTCACAAAGAAAATCATTTTAAAGAATCCACAGATGTTTCCTTTTTCCAAATGAAATTTCTGAGTGTTTTTTTTTTCTTTCTTTGAGAAGTCATTCCTCATTGAAGAACTACCTACATGAAGCTGCTTCTCATCGCACCATAAAGCTAGAGGTGATAATTTCAAAACAAAACTGTTTAGTTCTCTTCTTTTCAGGATAAAATGATAGCTCTCCTTGGACTGATTTTGATGAGCCATGCACATAATGCAAAAAAAAAAAAAAAAAAATATATGAGAAACCTAGCCCAACACTTGGTGAAAATGATGAACCGTGGGGCGCTGATTTCATGTGACTTGAAAAACGCCATCCATTTCCTGATTCACCTTAATTTCTGTGTGGAGATGTGGGGGATCTCTTACGTCTCTGAAATAAGTAACCAGTGTTGTCTCCTCTTTGTGTCTCTCCCTTCCGACTGAATTCCAGCCACGTCGCTGCCCTGCCTCCTCTGTGGAGCGGAGCCCAGATCGCCACCCAGAAGAGGCGAAGATGTGGCCGTAGGTCAGGAACGCCCTCAAAGGGAAACCTGTATATTTGTGATCTTTACGCCGCGAGGAGATAGTATGAATGTCATGAAAAACCTCCGTCCAGAAATCGTAGTCTCCAGGCGTCTGCATCGTCACTGGCCTTTCCTACAGAGGAGCCAGGGACAACATATCACAGTCCTCAACCACAGTGTTCTTGCACCCCGGTCTTCTTTCTTTTAGATCCATGGCTTTTAAGGATTGATTGAACTGCTGGATCATCTGATCAACCCCATCAGTGTTTCTTTGTTTGCAGATGGCCACATTTTGGTGAAAAGATAGGCCATTTTATGCCACGCTGGGATTGCCTAGTGCTCTTTGTTGTTCATGTATGTAAAGACCCATGATTATGGCTACAGGTGATGCAGACTTAAGTTTTGAGAGATGAGGCATCTCCAGGTCGGCAGAGCTTAGGGTGCCTTCAGCCCCTACTCAAGTCCCTGGAGCTTCACCAGAAACTCTTTAGGGTTCTTTTACCCAAGAAAGGCTCACCACCGCCCTTTATGTAGCAGCCGCTCCCCTGTAAGCAGACCAGTTTTATTCAAGAACAGCAGCCCGGAAACCAGGACGCAATAGAAAGAAAATATGTCTGGCACATGTGAGAAGGAGCATATGTGGGCACCGTACAAGGGGCAGGTGCCCGGACCTTACATAGAAGGACTGGATCCTCTCTGTGGGCACCTGCTCTCAGCCCTCTGCCAGTCTGCGCCCTGGACACTCATCCTCTCCGTTTCTCTAAGTTTCCACCCGAGTCCATCCAGAGCCTGCCTCGAGCTTCCCTTGTCTGGTCAGAGAAACATGCTTTGCCCCTGGCACCTGGGCGGTGGAGGTTGACCCAGCACAGCTTGACCTTCACACGACCCAGGTGAGTTCTTATCTGGGAACGCCCTGGAATTAATTCCACGGGTGAAAAACGCCTCATGGCTACATTCAGGGAGGCAGCCTACTTAAAGCCCGCCTGCTAAGAGCCACTGCAAAAACTGAAGGATACAACAGCCCGAGGCTACATTCAACGAGAAGTGCTCACTTAGTTTTCACTCAGAAAAGTTTAGTAATTCATCTTGCTTCCAGGAAGGGCCTGGTAACAAAAGACACTGCATATTACTTTAGTAAAACTTGTGCTTTTACTTCTGTGTATCCAGAGGACCAAAGTAGATTAGAGATCTGCAAGTATTTTTGCCTTTTCTTTATGGTTGAATTTCTACCAACCCAATTTCCGTTAAAAAAAAAAAAAAAAAAAAAAAGAAAAAGTAAAAAATATCCATGCTCAAAACACCTGAAGTCATTTTTTTTTTTAATAAGTATAGTATGGGGAGAAGGAAGAAGCTAGGTTTAAAAGATTCTTGGAATCCCTAGAGGAAATACAGATGGTTTATAGCATGGAAATAAGCATCCGTATGGTTTCCTAAGTGGTATTTTCTGACATTGGGCCTTGTATGTATCTCGTATCTACAAGCAAATAATTGCTATGCTGGAATCCATGTTCTTTTTATTCCTCTGTCTTTGGAAATAGAGCTTTGGGGGGAACTAAGTCCCTTTGGAAATATATTTTCAAAAATAATGTTAGTCCTACATAGATTTAGGAATAAAATACAAATTGGTTTGCCTCTTTATTCCATCATTCAACGAGGAGATTAACTCATAATGACCTTGAGTTCAATGAAAAGAGTATCTACTAAGTGAAATTGAACCAATGGGCAAAGTGTCTCCTGAATCCTGCAGCAAATCAGTGGGGAGACGAGCTGTCAAGGGTCCTGTTGCCCATCTGTCAAGTCTCATTACAGACCCTTCCTTTCATTCCTGTTGCTGTCGCCTTAATTCAGAATGTCAACTTCTCTCACCCCGAATCCCACCACCTCATACTGGTCTCCCTGCAGCTCTCAGTCTATAACGCACACCTCAGTGACCATCTTCAAACAGCAATCCAAATGGTCCTTAATAACACAGACTTCCTTGATTTTATTTGAATTGCAATCTGCCCAGCTTAAAAAAAAAATTCCTGAAGCTAGGTGAGACCATGGAACTTAGCTGTGACAAATAAGATGTAAGTGGGTGCAGCTCCAAGTACAGCTTCATAAAAGGGGCCAACAATGAACACCATGATTTTTCGTGCCTTTCCCTCTCCATGGGGATTTCTGCCTGGAACTTGATTGTGGTAGCTGAAGTTCCAGCCACCATCCTGGACTGTAAGGTAACCTTGATGATACAAACCATAGTAGACAAAGATAGTAGAGCTAAAAAATAGAGCCTAAATGCCTGGTGACCCTATGGAACCCCCATGTCAGCCTAGAATAGCCTAGCTCCAAACCATAACATGAGAAAGAAATAACATTCCCTTTTGTCTATCCAGCATTGTTTCTGTTCTGGATTTATCAGGTCCCTGCTGTCTTCCCTCCTCCCCTCCCTCATTCTTTGCTTTCCCTCTTTCAACCAGGATTGTTGCATAGCATGTGCCCAGCATATGGCCGCACATTAGGAACAGAATAGAGAGAAACCGAGAAGATCCCTGTCCTTTCAGGACAAGCATCATCAACAAAATGGCATTTGAGCTGACATTTAAAGGATGATTAGTGACTTAACGAGAAACGGGGTCATTCAGGGGAAAAGAGTGAGGTCCAGGGAAGAGTGGAAATATTAACTTTAGAATTTAACTCAAACACACTTGTTAAAATGCCAGGGAGAGTAATAGTAATTGCAGAAGAACAGCAATGGGTACCATCTTATTAAACAGTAGAGAGGAAAAAATATGAAATAAGGGAATTTGATCAATCCAGAGTAAAAGGCTGGAAAGAGAACGAAGACAGAAATGGAAAAAAAATTGCAGAGTGGAAAGAACTAGTAGAAATTGGTAACCTCGTAACATTGCATTATAGCAGAATGCAGAGAAATACGATGGGAAAAGATACATCAGGCAAATATCAGTCACAATAAAACTAGTTTACAAATCCCAATATCAGAAAACTGGATTCTAAAACAAAATTCTTTTTCAGTAAAAATATTCACCATCGAAAAAAATTCAGCTCATTAGGAAATACAAATATGTATGCAACTAACAAAATGGCTTCAAAATATAAAAGGTAGGGACACCTGGGTAGCTCAGTCAGTTAAGCACCTGACTCTATTTCAGCTCATGTCATGATTTCCCAGGTTTATGAGATCGAGCCCACATAAGGTCTGTGCTGACAGTGCAGAGCCTGCTTGGGATTCTCACCCTTTCTCTCTCCCTCTCTGTCTGTCTCTCTCAGAATAAATAAACTTTAACAAAAACAAAACGATAAAACAATAAAACACATATACATACACACACACATACACACACACACACATATATATATATATATATATATATACACACATATATGATGAAGCACATTCCTGCCACTAATTGATAAATCCAAGGGGAAAAATAGTATGAATTTAGATATCCTGAAAAAAGCAATTAGCAAAATTATTCTAATAGAAGTACTAAATACTCAGGCAAGATTTACAAAACTTAAGTCTGGGGCCACAAAGCAAGCCTCGGTGAATTTTGAATAATCTGCATCATGCGATTAGGTTACAAATTAATAATTTAAAAATAATTGAGAAAACTTACATTTGTCAGTTGTAAGCCACATTGCCAGTAGCATGTGTGACAAAGAAATGGTAATGGAAGTCAGGAAAATTCGTATGTTGTATGAAAATGGAACATTTAAAACTTACATAATGTAGCTAAAGTAGTATTTACAGAGAAATTTAGCCTTGAGCACTTGTATTAGGAAAGAGGCGCTGAAATTAACAAGACAAATGCCCAACTCATTAGGAACAAAGCAAGGGAAAGAACATAGTTATTAATATCACATATTAATAAGATAAACTACAAAGTTACAAGACAGCAAAACTAAGCTGTTTAAAAAATAATAAAATACCAATAAAATAAGCAAACATCTGGCAAGGTATATAATTCACTAGAAATTTAGCTTTAGGAAACTAAAAAAGTGAAAATCCAAATACATTTATCACCAGTAAAGAAACTGAGTCAGTAAGCAAACAGCAAGTAAAATAAACAAGATGGATGATTTTCTAGGAAGATTCTACCAAATATTCAAGGCACAATTAATCCCTAGTTTATAAAAGTTATTCCAGTGCATGGAAAAATGATAGGCCAAACTCCCCCCAATTCAAGGATGTCTTATCATTAGAAAATATATCAATATAAATTACCTCTTCAGAATTAAGAAGAAAAACCATATGATCATTTCAATAGCTACTTAATGTACTTCTATGAAATTCAATGTACATTTGTCATTTAAGAAATACTTCTTGGGGCGCCTGGGTGGCGCAGTCGGTTAAGCGTCCGACTTCAGCCAGGTCACGATCTCGCGGTCCGTGAGTTCGAGCCCGCGGTCCGTGAGTTCGAGCCCCGCGTCAGGCTCTGGGCTGATGGCTCGGAGCCTGGAGCCTGTTTCCGATTCTGTGTCTCCCTCTCTCTCTGCCCCTCCCCCGTTCATGCTCTGTCTCTCTCTGTCCCAAAAATAAATAAACGTTAAAAAAAAAAATTTTTTTTTAAAAAGAAATACTTCTTGGCTTTTGGATTAGTAATACGAAGGAAGCTGCCCAATTTGATAGACTATCTTTCAAAAACAGAATCCACAAAAAACTTGACATTTAATCATGAGAAGTTGGAGACATTCAGTTGAAAAGAAATCCAAGACAAGCAAGCACATTTCTATCCTTCCATGTGACACTGAAACCATGATTGTGAAGGAAGAAGCAAACTTAATCTCAAACAATAGAATTGTCTCCAGCGAAGCCACTTAAGAACATCTACAGATAAGTAATTAGAATAGAGAGAAAGTCTGCAAATTTGCTACAAAAAAATATCAATATATAAATCCATTTGGCTCCCATAAACCAGAAGCCAAGATAATAAAATATAATACAGAAAAATTAACATTAACAAAAAAAAAATCAGTATGTTACCTAAGTAATTTTGGCAAGAGGTATGTTGGACCTCTGTGGAAAACCTATAAAACTAAGTTTAAATATCTTAAAGAAAAAAATAAGATCTTCAAAAGTATCAAAATAAATTGATGCTATCCCATATCTGTGTGGAGTGATTCAGTATTTATAATGTCTTGAATATGAACTATTCATTCAGAAATATCCATGCTCCCCAAATTCATCCATAAATACAATGGAGATCCAATCAAAATTTCAACTAGCTACATGGAACTTAAGTAGACCCTAACAGTGGTAAGCAGAGCAAAGGCAAATGTCTAAGAGTGATTAAAGAATTTCTGCAGGGGTGCCAGGGTGGCTCAATCAGTTAAGTGTCCAACTCTTGATATCAGCTCAGGTCATGATCTCATGGTTCGTGAGTTCGAGCCCCACATCGGGCTTTGCACTGGCAGCACAGAGTCTGCTTGGGATTCTCTCTCTCCCTCTCTCTCTGCCCCTTCCCCTCTCATATGTGTTCTCTCTCTCCCTCTGTCTCCCTCTCCCTCTCTTCTCTCCCTCTCTCTCTCTCTCCCTCTCTTTCTCTCTCAAAATAAATTTTAAAATAAATAAACTTAAAAAAATAATTTCTGCAGAAAATGAATAAGGAAGGTAATCAATATTGTTCATAAAGCTACAGAAATTGAGGCATTGAGATATTGGCATGGGGACAAAGTGAGCAATGTAACAGAGGGCCCATGAACAGACCCACCTATATGCTATCTTTGATATGTTACAAAGGGGCCCACTGGGGAGAGGTGCAACTCAATAAATGAGTCTAAGACAGTTGAGGACTATGATGTAAAAACACCGAATCAGATACCCACCTTAAGCCATTTACAGAAATAACTTCAAAGTAGATTAAAGCCAACACGAGAAACAAAACATTAAAAAATTTAGGAAAATGTATAAGAAGCTATCTGTATGACCTCTGGGTGGGGAAGCAGTTCTCAAAATAAGATACAAAGAACAGCCACGCAGAAACGAAAAAAAATCAATATAGCAAACAACATTAAAGTTTAGAACTTCCATGTGATGAAATACAACTTAAGCGCAAGCCATAGCTGGCAGAAATTTCCGTGCATACAAATGACAAAAAATGGCAGACAGAATATGTTTTCAAAGTCCTACCAATCCACTGGAGAAGGACGAAATGAGAGGAAACTGTGCAAACGAAGCAGGAAGCTTCCTCGATGGCCAATAAACAGAAGAATAGAATAAAACCTCCCGAATCATGCTAGAAATGTAATTAAAAGAAGGTGGTAGCATGTCATACCAATCAGACTGACAGCAGTGAAAAAGTCTGGCAATACCAGCTGTCATCACGTACTGGTCAGGAAAGCTATGGAGGTAGAAAATGGTACGATCACTTGGGAAGGCATTTTGGCCGCTCTTGTAACGTTGAAAATGGACACTCCATATAGCCCAGTTAGCAAAGTTGCAGAGGATATGTAGTACACTGCCAGTTTGTATAAAGTATTAAAACTAAAATAAATCACATCTATGTAATGTCTGGATACATACACAGCAGTGAAATAGCACACAGAACTGATGGACACTAAATTCAGGTTGTTTATTCCTGGGCAGATGGGAGGGAGATCATGGGAAGATAAGGGTTGCCAACTTTATCTGTGCTTCTGTTTTCCATGAAAAAAGAAATAAGGTATGAAGCAAATATTGAACAATGTTAAGGTTGGATAGAGTCAGTTCAGTGGGTGTTCATTAGATTATTATCCTTTCCCGTATGCTCATAAGATTTCATAATTCAATAAAAAAGTTTAATGGGAAGTAAGGAAGTAGAGACAGTAGGCAAAAGAAAGCTCATTAGAGCAGTTTTGTCCCGAAGAAGAACAAAGAAACTGGTAACAGCTGGAGGGACATGAGCACACAGGGCTATTTTTAAAAGTGGGTCATTTCAAGCATATTTATACATTGACTGAAATACCTTCATGGACAAAGAAATTGATGGTGTACTAGGGAAAGAAGGTGATTGTAGGAACAAAGGCCTCGGAAAGATAAGAGGCAGTAGAATTTGTGTTTGGAGAGAATAGGGGTTGTCTCAGCATTGTCCTGGGAGAGAGGACCACATAGAGATGGAAGTTTTGTTCGTGCAGAGGAAGGCCTGTCCCTCTAAGAACTTTTGTTTTCCGAATGATGTATAAGGTCAGATTCACATGAGGAGTAGGGAGAGGGCGTCAGCGTTGAGAAGAGAAGCGAAGGGAAGCTATGAAGCCAACGTCTTGGAAATCGAGAAAACAAACTTATTGGAATCTCCATGCTACACTGAATGACCAGCTGAGTCCTGTGGTCATCATGCTCAAATGAGCTCCATCCACATGCTGGGATTTTCTCCAGCAAAGTTCAGCAGCTCAGGCGCTGGTGCAGAGAAGGCCAAAGATTGGGTCGCACCAGGAGATGGTTTCCCCAGGCAACGGAAAAAGAGAGAAGCAGGAAGGCTGAGGATGTTCACAAAGAGGTGACTTTAAGGGTAGTCATACAGTGTAAGCTAAGTAAAAGGACATGGGGACAAAAATAAAGATGGTGTCAGTGGACTGGAGAATAAGATGAGATCAAGGAATCATTGCACTGGGAGCCTGGAGAAGGATCCCCAGAAGTTGTTATGGGGGAGGGTAGGTTAAGGAGGTGCAGTGGTCCAAGATTTGTCCATGACAATGGGACCAGAGCTGGAGAAGTTTATGGTTGTTGCAGGTTATTGTAGGAGGGCAGGTGGGTCAGGGAAGAAAGCCAGCCTCTTGGATGTGTGATGAATATAGAGATCAAAGTCACTAAGAGGAATCTTTAGTGAATGAGGTAGAGTGACACAGGAAGTTCGGGAGACAACTGTGGGGAAAAAGGGGCACTGCTGTGTTCATTTCACAGTTTGAAAATGCGGTTCAGAGAGAACGTGTCTCTAGGAAGCAGCTTGCAAACTAATAACCAGAGGAACCCAGAAGTGTCTGACTCCAAACTCCATATTCTCTTTCCTGTACCAATCTCCTTGTGCAAGTTTCGACACAGTAAACTTGAATAACTATACAATGGAATTCGATGTTAATCTTCCAGTACCTTCTCTGGACAGAGCTGGTCATCACGACCCTTAACTGATGTGACTAATCAGGAATATTTGGGGAGTTTTCTCACATACACAAGCCCAGGCTGACCCTGCACCTAGTGATCAGTCTCTAGGGGATGTGTGCAAACCTATGATTTTGAAAAAGCTCCCGAGATGAGTCTGATACACAGGTACTTAACAAACATTAACCTCAGGTTATTGTCAGCACAAAAGCTCACCTGTCTTTAAAGCAGAAATGTTCTGATATTCCTGAGAAAGAAATGATCCAAGAGAACAAAGACTTAAGGGCCCAGTTGTGTTTTTCTATCCATGTCTACGCTATGGCTCTTGTTCCAAGTACTCTATATAGCAACTCATTCCATATTAAGCTGTATTGAGAGATATGTTTTCCTGTTCAGAATCTTATGTTTTCACAGAACATTCTTAATATTTGCTTGTCTTGCTTAAAGATTTGCTAAAATACCAACTTTCACCAATAGGTTTCTATAAAATGTTTTGCTTATCTGTAATATCTTCTGTAAAATGTTGCCAACTTTATTACTCTAGAGATGGCCAATCTTATGGGGATCTCTCTTTTGTCTGTCTGTCGGTCTCTCCCTTTCTCTCACTCACACACACACACACACACACACACACACACACACACACACCTCTTCTCTTCTGCTAAGATCAGATTTTCCAGCTTTGTGCATAATCAAAGGGATAGCAACTGGGAGAAAATTTCCCACTGAGTAGCACCAAGAAAGACCATTTTGACCACTGTTTACTTCCCTTCTATCCTTTCTTCCACGAGCTCAACCAGCACAGACATGATTATTTAATTATGCCAGTATGAGAGCTACAATATTTATTTCACCTTTCCCTGCCCCCAGGAGATGATGTCATTCCAACTCGCCCCAGGAAAACATGTCAGGATCTTGGGCAGGTGAGGAAATGGCGTGCGGTTTTACCTAGTTCCTAAAAAATTGTGCCGCACCTTCCAACTTCCACCCAGTTCAATCATGGTACATGGAGTAGGCTGGATTGTCTTCTGTTTCATTCCCTAGCTCCTTGTGCAGTGCACAGGACATGATTCATCCAAATGTGATGACTGCATCAGTGAAGTCACAGACATCTGAGGCTCAGGCAGTCCTCAGTGAAGTGGACTCCCAACGTGCCATTCACGTCCTGCTAGAAGGCGTAGGTGGGATTCAGACAGCACTGCTGGGGGTATTGGAGGCTGGATCCTCACCACCTGCACTACTAGGCCAGGAATTGCAAACTTTGCCTATGAAGGCCAGGTAGGAAATATTTAGGCTCTGTGTAAACATGCGATCTCTGTTGCAATTCACATACATAGACCAGTTGGGTTTCGATAACACTTCATTTACAGAAGCGGGGATAGGGGGGGTGGGGACATCGCTTCCCGCCCTGGGTTGGTCATTGAGACCTGCTCGAGACCGACGGTGGTAAACTTGAGGTTGCCTCAGAATCATCAGAAGGGCTCATTAGAACCAAGCTGGTGGCCAACACCCTCTTGAATTTTCTGATTCAGTAGGTCTTGAGTGAGGCCCAAGGCTTTCCGTCGTCAGTCTGTCTCCAGGTGATTCTGGTACGCAGGGTTGGGGACCACGCATTAAGAACCGCTGCCCAGAGGAATATTAATACACATAGCCTGCACGTCACCTCTTGAAAGCAAATCAGAATTAATAGAACGTCTTGCCTTTCCTATGACTAAGTCCCTATCCTGTCCTTCTCCTTGCAGTCTTTATTCAGGAATTTTTGTTTTCTGGAACATCAGCTCTTTCAGACAGGGATTCTGAAGAATCCTGTCTGGTCATTCACAGTGCCTGGCATAGTGGCTTAGGTGCTCAAACATGTTTGCTTGGAGAATGAAAATAAAATGAATGGCTGTATTGCTGGGTTAGATTAGTTCCAACAATTTTAAAAATGTGATAAAAATACTAAGGATTTGGGTATATTGCTCTAACTCAGAGAATAACATTAACCCGTGGGGAAAAATCGTTTGTATTGAACAGTAGCTCATTTTTTCCAGTTCACACATTTAAGGAAAATCTACATTTTGAAGATGGTCCTGAGTTTTGTCCCAGTCATATTAAATGTAGCCTGCGTTGAGTCTCCATCAGAAGAAACTCTTGCCTGTCAAGAGATTGTTCCTTCGAGATCTGGGACGAAAGGAGATTCGGGCTATAGGTTTCACAAAAGGCAGTACCAACCTAGGCAATAAATGATCTTACGGTGGAAAGATTGGGATCAGCCTGACTGGACATGTCCAGAAATAGCTAGAGCAGAGGACCGCCTGCCCGGACTGATTTCTCCCTCGGGGTAAATAGCCAGGTGTCAGGCGAGGACCAAGGCACGTACAAATCTCAATGCTTTGGTGGAACCATAGAGGCATCAGGGCCCCGTGGTTCCCTTGATTTAGAAAACCGGCTGGGAAATTAAAATGTCCTCCGAACGATTTGAATTGGGAAGAAGACAACCTCATTTAGTTTCAGAGCATGACTTTTCTCCCCGCCACACCCCCAATTCTGAGAGAACCCGACCACAGTAGCCGAATGTAAAGGCCACTTGCTGTCTGCAGTAGGCATGCATCAGGGCTTTCCTGCGTCCAAATGTTCATTTCAACTGACAAAACACTCTCGGCACTTTAATTTTATTTCATAACGAACAGGCAAACTTAACTTCTAAGCATTTTTATTCCGAGTTTAATGGCTCACACTCCCGAGGTCGGCAAGCAGATGGAGTTGAAGACGAGAATGTATAATTGCAGATCATGAAACTGCAAAATTAATATTACTTTGTTAATGTCAAGATAAGATTTGAGAGCCAGAAGGGATTTTCAAGATCATTGATCTTAAACCTCATCACACACAGGAAGACAGTGAGGCGGAGGGATGGCGTGTCCTTCCCAGACTCACAGAGCCAGCAAGGGACAGAACTATGTGTGATGCCACCTCCCGGCACCCAAGCCAGTCCTCCGGCTCCTGGGCTCCACTCTCCCCATTGACTCCTTTACAAGAAAGGGGCTCTCGTTTTTCCTCTGCTGCTTTACCTTCCAGTGTACATGTATGGGACAAAGAGCGAGAGAACGTGTGCACATCTGCGATGGTTATTTGGCTATAAATTTTAATTTAGTGTGCCGTTTTGTGATATTTCAGAATTTACTTTGATGTGTTAACAGAACATCAAACAAAATCCCCGATGGCATGAATCAAGAATGACTTACCCCCACTACGTGTAGTAGTAATGAGGATCTGATTGGGTCGTATATGACAGAGACCCAAAATAACAGGCACCAAAACCCTGGAGGTTTCCAGGTGTAGGAAAAAGCCAGAGAGCTGTCATGATGTTAATACCTCACACATACGTCAGGGGCCTGGTTCCTTCTCTCCATAGCTCTGCAATTCTTAGAGGGCTTCCCATGTGTTCATGGGTTAGCATGGTTAACTACCACCCTAGAAATTCTAGCCAGGAGGGAAGGGAGAGGAGAAAGGAGAAAGGGGGTGCACAATCCTTCCCTTGTGCCCATGCCCGGGAAGCTGCACCCACATTTCCCTGATTAGAACTTAGTTAAGGGGTCAGACTTAGGTTCTGGGTAGCCACATGCCCAGCTAAACATAGTTTATAGCATTACATACTACAGAAGAAACAGTGGTTACTGCTTTCTGCCATAGTTGGCCACTCTGGCCATCCACATATCTGTGCCTACCCATCTTGTCACGTGAAGAACCCAGTACCCAAAGCAGGCAATCCCTAAGTCTCATATTGTGAGTTTATGGCACCTACATGACATGGTCCCCTACAGGGTTGGTCCCCTCAGGTTAGCTATAAACTAAAAGATAAGTTTCCTGCCCATTCATCACATCTAATATGTAATGGTGGAGCAGGAGCAGAAGACCTCAATGGAAAAAATGTCTCCCACTACTGATCAGCACGGGAGTTTTGACCTGCTCCGTTTCCGAGCTGGGCCGGTTCACCCCTCCTTAGGCAACCTGGTGGTCCCCAGCTCCCAGGAGTTCACCATATTGATGCCTAAATGTCCATCAACTGATGAATGGATAAAGAAATTGTGGTTGATATACACAATGGAATACTACTTGGCAATGAGAAAGAATGAAATCTGGCCTTTTGTAGCAACGTGGATGGAACTGGAGAGTGTTATGCTAAGAGAAATATGTCATCCAGAGAAGCACAGATACCATATGTTTTCACTCTTATGTGGATCCTGAGAAACTTAACAGAAGATCGTGGGGGAGGGGAAGGAAAAAAAAAAGTTAGAGAGGGAGGGAGCCAAACCATAAGAGACTCTTAAAACCTGAGAACAATCTGAGGGTTGACGGGGGCGGGTGGGAGGGAGGGGACGGTGGGTGAGGGGCACTGAGGAGGGCACCTGTTGGGATGAGCACTGGGTGTTGTATGGAAACCAATTGGACAATAAATTTCATATTTACAAAAAAAAGAAAAGTCTCCCAAAGAAAGACAAATAACAGCGACAGGGACTTACTAGTTTATAAATCCTTCTGAAGAGCCTCTGCCCACGAGTGGCGTCACTTCCTTGGTCACCCTCCGGCAGACCTCTCTGGAAGAGGGTCCTTGTCCATGGTCTCCCCTGGCCCCTGGCTTTGTCTGCTGAGAGCGCCCCGCTGGTCTCTCCGTGGTCCAGCTGGGATGTGCGCAACTTTCCACAGCGGGAGGCGGTGGGTCACCAGTCACATACTTATGTAGCCTTGCCTGGTGGCTTCGTTGGCAACAAAATTTCTCAAAAACTTAGCGGGGACTGCCACTTAAACCTTTAAAATCAGCATTTTTATTTCTTTGCCTCTGTGCTCTGCCAAAATCCCTTTCAAGTTCATGGGGACTAACTGGAGAGCGTCTGGAACAATAGCCTTGATGGGAAGGAAATTTCTTTCTGATGTCCCATTGTCTGACAGGAAGATTCTTGTCTGGGGAACTCGAGAACAATCTCTGATTACCCTGCTCTGCCTCCTGCCTTGTGGTCCCAATGCGCCGCCTCCTGTCACTGGTTCAGTCTGGGGTAGAGTTTGGATTTATCAACCCTACAAAGTCCCAAGAGGACACTCCCTCCACTCGGTTGACGATATGGAAGTGAGTCTGTACCTCCTGAAGGAACGTGACTTAGCAGAGCTATGTTCCTTCCGTTTTTGTTTACCGTCTGGCTGACTTCGTTTTAATTCACCTCTTACGGATCAGGTAGCAACCTGAATGCACCAACCTTCTGGATTTTCTGACCCTTTCCCCGTTGGTGATAGAATGTGTTCTGCCTCCCAAGATATTGTAGATGACCACACCCCTGAATGTTTGGTCCACCCAGAACCAGGATCACCAGCTTCCCAGTCACTAAGATCTGTGTCTTCACCACCCACTATCAAAATGTTTCCTCTAGGGCTGCTTGGGTGGCTCAGTTGGTTAAGCATCAGACTCTTGATTTAGGCTCGGGTCATGATCCCAGGATCGTAGGATCGAGCCCCGCGCTGGGCTCCACGCTCAGCTTGGAGCCTGCTTAATATTCTCCCTCTCTCTCTTTCTCTCTCTCTCTCTCTCTCTCCCTCTGCCCCTCTCCCCAACTCACACTCTCTCTTTCTCTCTCTCTCAAAAAAAAAAAAAAAAAAAGTTTCCTCTAAGCCAATGACATCCATTTTAGGTCCTCACAAAGCCAACATTGTACCTCTAGTCTGGTCTATAGATTTCAGAGTGGGAGAGAGCATCCCAAGTGATGGTGACATAAGCCCAGAAGGAGTTTAGCTCCTTCTCACATAAGATCTGAACTGCTCCACAAGGCTCTGCTCCACAAGGCTCGTCAGGCACCCAGGCTCCTTCTTTCTTGTCGCTCTGCCATGCCTTGGCGATTGTCTTGCCTTCATGGTCCAACCTTTCTTACCACTATATCCACCAGTAATGTGGGAGAAAGAGGGACAATATGCCTTTGTTTGTTATGGCACAGCTGGGAGATTTCACCCATCCTTTCTGTTCAATCCCATTATTCAGAATTTAACCTTGAGAATAAACTCACTTTTCGGTATGGCTTGGTGCCCAGACAAAACTCCGGGATTTTATTGCTATAGAAGGAGGGGAAGTCAGTATTGTGGGGCTTGAGTAGTCTCTGCCACATGGTAGAATCTGTTTAAGGTTAAGCATAAATATCCAGGAAATAACCTATAATTAGTTTATAGATGTAATCGCAGTGTGACTATGCTAAATCTCCCCTCTCTGAAATATTGCTGGTATTACCACCGAGAACATTATGGGAAATTCCTTA